CGAAAGCTGGAAAATATGACATAAATAATAATGTAGATACATGTAGCAGAATCTGGACATTCAAACAGAAAATAAAATTCTGCATTAGTTGTGACTGAAGCATCACAATGGCTCACCCCTCCACATCCCACTTACATGAATTGCTCAACATTTGAAGTTCAAATTCTCTCTCACTAAACTTTCAGTTGCATGGATTTTTTTCTTACTTAAAACATCTAAAAAAACACAAGAAAACAGTGAAACCAGCAAGCTTGTTAGAAAGTTGCAGCTATGGTGAAGAAAACGTGGAAGAAGAACCGTCTGCTTACAGTCCTGTTCCTCCAGGTGTGTCTGTCATTCTCAGTCCTCGGGTCAGTGTCAGCACCCCAGAGACAGGGTCTAACTGGAAGGCAGCATCTGCCGTGTTTCCCTGGGTGATGTTGTAACCTATGTCACTACCAGCGTCAGTGTCCTCAGCCTGGAGAGAGAAACAAGAGGTGAATAAAACATTCTTATCCTCATTTTTCATTTGTAAATACATAAAAGACTTATAAGCAGGCAATTTGTTTTTTTTTTAATATTATCAATATGTTTCTTTTTCCTAGAATTCATCAGTTCAAATATTTTTTCACATGTGACACATTCAACAATAAAAAATTCTTCAAATGATTATAAGATATCAAGTTTTTCACCATCAGTACTGGTTTGGACAATTACTTTAGTTATTTCCACCTCAGAAAACCCCCCAAAAAAGCTAGTCATAAAATGATTATGCCTTCATGTAGCATACAGCAGACTTAACATGCCAGTGAGAGCTGTCAACAAGAAAAAAAGATTCATTATTTTATCTTACCTTGACAGTGATAGGAGGGTCCAGAGAGGTGTCATCTTCCATCACAGAGGTCCTGTATGTCCTGGTGTCAAACACAGGCGCATTGTCATTGTTGTCCAATACAGTGACATAGAGGGGGACACGGTCAAATTCTCCGCCCCCGTCTGTAGCTGTCACCTGGATGTGATAGGCCCTGACCCCAGAATCAATGGAGAGAGGAGACACTAGGGACAGGGTGCCTGAACTGGGGTTGATGTAGAACCTAGGAGACAAAAAATAACTATTAGCAAAAAAAAAATCCTTTATATTTCATTCTTTTAATAAATTATCTGCACTGTAGATTGAAAATGAAGCCTGCTGCCAAAAGGCAAGTAAAATGAGAATCATATGTATTTCATTATTTTAATAATCTGTACAGTCGACTGAAAAAAGTGCAAAGCCAAAATATCAATCTTAAAATATGAATACTTTAAATCACTATTCTCTGTATACCCCTCCTAATCACACTAGGTCTATAGCATAAGACTGAGAGAAAAACATCACTTACTTCTCTTGTCCATCTCCAGATATGTTGTATCTCACTTGGCCAAATATTCCAGAATCTTTATCAGAAGCCTGAAAAATAGAAATGTAGATATCAAACTTTTTAATTAAGACACAACTTGAGGAACTTTAAGCTATAAATCACAATATCTAAATACAGGTGGATTATTATTTTTTTTAAACTAGAATTAGGTATCACTGAAAATACAATTTTTTAGAAATTAATACCAAGCATAAAAAACTCAATAGAAAGCAAATCCAAAATGGATTAAAAAAAAACAAAATAGAATTTAAAAGTACTAAAAGCTTGAAATTAGCAGCAGTGTCAGCACTGGACAGGAACTCACCTTTATAGTGACATCTAGTGGCACATTAAGAGGCTGGTCCTCCCTCAGCTTCAGGTCATAGATAGGACTGGAGAAGGTGGGCGAGTTGTCATTGATGTCTATTAGGTTTACTAACACAGTGGCTGTGTCAAAACTGCCGTCAAAACCCTGGGCCTTCAACTGGAAAGAAAATCAATCTTCTGACGGTAAGAAAGGTATGAAATATTACATTCCACACTTGCTTTATCATGTCGAGCAAAAGGATATCCATGAGATAGAGCAGGGCCAACCCAAATTAAGAACTTAAAATTGAAATGCAAAGTAGAGGTATAATACTGGAATAGAGATAAATGAACATGTAATAGCAACATGCAAAAATCCTTAACTGTGTCTGCACATAGATGGCTAAGTTTTAGTGATACGTAAGTAACTAAAAACTAAAAAAGCCTCAAATAATAAATGTAAAAGGTGAGACCCCAACAGAGAAAACCTTCTTGATGACTACTTCCTTTTATTCAAAAAGCCATTGAAAATTGTATGCTGGAAGTTTTACCTTAAGAATTTTTTCAGTGGACATATCAAAATTGCCGGCCACATTGGAAATTTCAGACATGTCCCTTTACCCCAAAATTTGCAGAATTTACTACAACTGTACCAGGTTTCATGCTTGTAGGTCAAAATGTACAATTCACCTCTTTTACACCATATTCCTATGCTATTACTAGCGATTTCCTAAAAAACTCACCACAATCTGCTGATTGCGGAATCCCCTTGTCTCGCTATCATAGTCCATATTGTCCTCATTGGCCACAATAAGCGTTGGTCTGGCCTCGCGTTGCTGGGTCTCCACAGGTGATAGTGAAAACGTGCCGTACGGGTCCTGCAGGATGCTGAGGTTAAATCTGGCATTGGAACCCTGGGAAGACATAGAGAGCATTAACAGACAAGAAAATTGTGTGACGTTTCAACAATGCATAGTTACGTTATATGATAATCAACAGACTACACAGGTGCATTTCCATTAGAAACACATTGTAACTGTTGCACAAACAGGCAAAAATATATTTTACATTATAAGCTCTGTTATATATATATATATACAAAGTGACTCAAAACTTTCCTTAATTTAGTTAAATGGCAACCGTATAGAACTATGGCCAGATGCATTGCCTTTTCAATAGGAATCATACAGTTAATACCACTTCAGACTTCAGTTTCATACAAGGCAAGGCCACCCACCTGGTCAGCATCGGTCACTCTGATGTCCAGATTGGGCAGTGGAGTATTCAGCCTCAAGCCCTCCGTCACATTGACCACATAGACCTCATGGTCAAACTGTGGCCTGTTGTCATTCAGATCCACTACCTGCACCATGATTGTAGTATTCACATGGGTGGATATCTCTACTCCATTCTCCATCTCCACAGCCTGCCAGGATAAACTGTCATTAGTAATAGCATATTAATAGTGGTTGTCAAGACTTTAGAAACACTATCTCTCTGACCACTAGATAAATTTAAGTTGCAAACTACATTTACATTCTCTGCATCTTTTATAAATTCATAACTATAAAGAACATTGCATATTTCATGATATAGTATTTACCTTAAAACCATTTCTCAAAAAAAAAAAAAAGATTTTAGTATGATTTTGTTATATAAGTGATGGAAATGAAGAGTTGTATGGAGCCTACCTGAGCAAGAATCACGTAGTTACTTGATGTCCCTAACTTCTCGCGGTCTATCCTGCCTGAAGACTTGACCACCGCGGAGTACCTGCTGCCCTCTGGTGTACCTTGCTGCAGAGTAAAGAAACCCAGCGGATCTGGAATGACAGGCACACCTCATTGGACGATCTGGTCAGCTTCTTTACAAACAGTAGTGCGTTAACTGATTTTTGACTTTGTATACATGCGCACACTCACACAGTCCTCACACACATGCATACACACACACACATACATACATACATGCACCCACACAAACACACTGGGATTTAATTCATGATCTATTATAACCCAGTTATGAAAGCAATTGTAACAGCTGAATTCCTTGTTTAGAATGCCACAGACTAGTCCAAAGGTTTACCATGGGCGGAGGCTGACTTCTGGGTCTTTCAGAAAACCATCAGAATTTTACAAGTTTAAGTTGACAGGCATCTAATTAATTTCTGTTGGAGAAGGGTCCAATATGGAAGATGCATCAAAAAAGATCATTTGGAAAACTGTCAGAAAATATCTCTGGATCTGCCCCTGTCACTATACTGTATATATATACTTACCTGATATGAGTTTGATGTTAAGTGGGTTAGGGTTGCCCAAATCCTGATCTTCAGCATACAAAGTATAAATACTGGTCCCCTGTAAAAATACAGAATTCACATCAAATAGACATCCAGGCACTTCATCCTTATATAAAAAAGTCCAAGCTGGCCTTCCTATTTTAAAGAAGATGATAAGAGATGTTAGTTATAACTACTTCCTATTCTCAGGATACAATGTCACCACACTTAGCTTCAGATTTTAGCAATCTATCTTATTAACTGGCAGTAAATAGTCTGCTTTTATGTCAGGGCCTTTTGTTAAATAATTTTACCATGCAATCACTATTTTTCGGGTCAAATAACATATATTCTGGAAAAAGCCCACCCTCAAGCACTATGCTATGTTGATATGGCGATATAGTTTGAATAGATTTTTGTTTGCATTCAGATGATAAGACGTATAAAATACATCAAAATGTTTGAATGGATTATTTCAATAAATTATATGATATCTAACATATTTGTTTCAAATGATCTACTTACAGCTGGGGCATTTTCTGTCACATTGAAGGTAATAGGGGTGTTGAAAAATCTTGGCAATGAATCTTGGACATCTTCAACTTCAATGACAAAATTCTTGTAATCTTCATGTACGCCATCCTAATCATAATGATATCATTTTATTACCATGGAATCACAATTTATACTGTACATACAAGGCAATTTCAGCAAGAATGTTAAATATAAGAAATGGAAACTGAAGCTAGTGATTTGTTAACTTGTGTTATGCAGTCAAAGTACATGTACAATGATAAGTTTTACAAACAAACAACAGATCAAGACTAAAAGGGAACTTGATATAAGACTGAGTATTTTTAGGCACATACTTTTTAAATGCTAGACAACACTGAGGGGATGTCATGTTTTTTCTTTTTTTCAAGTGAAGTTTGATCATAAAACTAAAAATTAAGTGTTAATCTTGTTGTAGAGTTCACAAATATAATCTCCAGACGTTTTAATTAATTTTATAGAGTCGATTGCTTGTGCACTCGACTACTTTATGACCTTACCTGTAATTATGTTACTTAAGTGGACGTGTGCAATTTGAATAATTAAAATTCGTATGTACCGCCAAATAATGCAGCACCGAATCCACCTATAGATAAGAAATATGTATAAAAGACGTCTAGAATTAAGGTCGGGGGCTCAGACTGAAGAAGACTCGAAGGTGACCGCTCGACGGAGCCATGGGAGACGGCCTAGAGCTTGGAGATTTCACGTAGAACATGTAGTTAGAGTGATTCGACCAATAAACCATTAAACTGGTCATTATGTGGACTTGGGTTTTCCTTGCGCGACCTTACGTAAATCTGACACGAACCGGGGAATCTTTGGATCGCATTATCCACTAAGTTGGACGAATTAAGCGTACAAAATTATATAAGTTTAGGACATTCATCTCATATGTATATGTAAAGGTACATTACATTGTGGTGAATAACATGCACATCTTGCAGGGACATGTACATGAGTATCTTAGACACACTATTTTGAAGCAATCCCAACAACAATGAGGCTCACATTTCATGGTTCTTTAAGTTACCAATAATTATCAGTTAATAACTGTATATTTACCGTAGCACGCATTGTGAGGGTATAACTTCTCTTGGTCTCAAAGTCCAGGGGTTTATTGAGAGTTATCTTCGCCAGGTAAACCCCCGTGTCCACTTTAACTTCAGTGACATTGAACATCTGGCAGGCTTCATAGGCCTAAAACAACAAGTTACATTATCAATGTTAAGTGTTTAGTCTCATTCTTATTATTACATACAATTTTAAAACAAAGGTGATGTAATAAATCCATATCTTTCAACAGTCTTTTCCTGATACCACTTAACAAAGAGAGAGAGAGGTGACAGGGGGAGGGGGGGAGGAAGACTCACCTGTACATCTCTCAGACTCTGGTAGTAACACCTGAGGGTCACCTTGGCGTTCTCCTGGGTGTCCACGTCCCGAATTCTGACAGCATTTTGGTCATTGGTCAGCACTTCCCCTACAGCTGCGTCCTGGGTGAGATAAACATACTTGCATTTTAACAGATAACAATTGTGCTATATGGGAGTTTCAATATACTTATACACACAGTGATATTCAGGGTGCACACTTCAATGAACATTATCTAGTACATTATCTGGTAATTTTTGTGCCCTTGGTTGGGAACTGTGCATGATATTTACACATGACACACCCAGGGTGCTGCCCCCTGGTGGAGTGCAGAACCAGAATTACTTTTTTTCCCTTTTTTATATATCTTACAATTCGTACCTTTAACAAAGATATATAAATATATATATATATATTAAATGCTATAGTTATAAACTTTGAACATGGACAAAGCTTAGGCATGTATTACTGTAATAACGCTGGCTTGAAGAGGCCGGGAGAAACTATAGGAAAATGACATCAATATTACCTCTCTGACTTTGCTGTTGTAGTTTTCTGAGTTGAGAAATACTGGAGGATTATCATTGACATCTATTATTGCCACATTTAAATCCACTGGACTCTGAAATATGAACAAAAACTTATCTTTACAGCCACATAAATTTGTTTCTGTGACTGAAGTATAAAATGCATATCTGTGTCAACACAGTAACCTGAGAAATACCTACAGTATTTTTGATTTCAGATTCCAGCTAAAGAATGCAACAATATGTAAAAAGTTAATTAAAATAAAAACAATGGAAAAAAGTCTTAGAACTGTAGCATGTGTGTGCAAGAGGCTCCTGGTGTATCTGTGTGCAAGAGGCTCCTGGTGTATCTGTGTGCAAGAGGCTCCTGGTGTATCTGTGTGCAAGAGGCTCTTGGTGTATCTGTGTGCAAGAGGCTCTTGGTGTATCTGTGTGCAAGAGGCTACTGGTGTATCTGTGTGCAAGAGGCTCCTGGTGTATCTGTGTGCAAGAGGCTCCTGGTGTATCTGTGTGCAAGAGGCTCTTGGTGTATCTGTGTGCAAGAGGCTCCTGGGGAGATGTACCCACCCTGTTGTTGAGGTTATCTGAGGCCACAAACTGGACTTTTAAATTTTGATCTGTGCTCTGAAAATAAACAGGAGGAGGTATAAACATTTCACATTATTTTCCTTTTGACTGTCAACATACTGAAATATCTCTACACTGACTATACACTAATCAAATGTACATGTATATGTGCACTAACCTTATAAAGTCTGATATGATGCAAGAGCAGGTATGAGCAGGTATAATTCTAATATTTATCATTCAATTTTATCAAAACATTTGACAGTGAAACATTTTACACTTGCAAACTGGAAAATATGTATTTAACATTTACAGGATTGTGCCTATTAACGTCAAAATGGAGCAATGAGAATGACTTTTTCCATTACACATCTGTTTATTTGTCAGTTTTGCTGTCTAGTACCATCAACTTCTCCTTCATAATCACCTCATAATCCAGGTTCTTGGCCAGTGTCACCAGTCCTGATGTCCTGTCCACATTAAAGGTGTCGCTAGTGGTTGTGTACGAGACAGGGTCATTTTCAGGGTCTTCTGCTATTAATGTACCTATCTCAGATCCTGCAATAGCAATAACAATACAATATGATACAATATCACAATGTTTGCAACAGCAGTATCAACACAATATGATACAATATCACAATGTCTGCAACAGCAGTATCAACACAATATGATACAATATCACAATGTCTGCAACAGCAGTATCAACACAATATGATACAATATCATAGGGTCTGCAATGATGTTCAAATAGCCATATTGCTATAATTTTTTAATCAAATGTAAGGAACACTTACTTTCATATAAATGTTTTTTTCATTCATACATATCAAATAATATCTGTGCTGTTCATATAGATTATAATATATAAAACTGAAAATGTGCAAAAATAAATGAACAATAATAATTAATAAGGGTCTTTGTCTATAATATACTGTAAAAAATACTCTCTACTTATCTATTTAGTGAAATAATTCCGTCTTTAAACTTGAAAAGATGCTAAGCCATATTTACCTATTGGCAACCCTTCCCTTATCCCCTGTATAGAGATGATACTACTGAGGTCTTCCACCCAGTTAGGTGCTCTGTTAGACTGACACTGAGCTGAAATATTCAAAAGAAAATTAAATAGGGTATAACTTTTCAAATTTTCTTGTTTGATAAAATCTTGTGGCAATAACTTAAAAGTATAGAAATTAACCTAGGAAGTGTCTGCAGTGTTTTTCAGGACACTTAATCTGCACAACCCTCTCGTTTTCATAAACGCAGAGATAACTAAAACTTTGTAACAAACTTTGTTCTTATAAGTCTGACATATAACGTCAGTTAACATAACAGCCATTCTACCTGATACCCAGTGAAGAAATTTGACTGTTACTGGGTCACATTTTTCCCATGATTCCATTTTCACATTACACTGTCAGAATAAAAGTAATTTCCCCAAGGAAATGAGAAATATTAAAATTATTAAAATTCTGTCACCTTTTAGTAAAATTCTGATAGTGTCTACCTGACAGGACAAGAAAACTGCAAAACGCCACGAACATATTTATAGGACCTATGTCACTTATGATTAGAAGGATCTCATGTCTTACCTGTGTGTACCCATAATAATGTCACTCCTAGGTAGAATAATCTCAAGTCCATTCCTTAAGACTGTCACCTAGAAATATAACAGTTATGCTTATTTTACAGTATACTAGTTACAGAAACATTTCTAGACACAAGTGTACTCATCATTTTTATATATAACCAATTCCAGAATATCTCACACTGTAAGTTTTTCTTAGACACTTCCATACAGTACTACTAGTAGGCCTATTTGATGAGGATATACATACTGACAATACCAGGTCATAGTTACCTCTTCTTTTTCCTGTTTAACTAACTTCTCAGAAAAAAAATGTTTATATACAATTTCAATTAGGCATATTTAACTTTTCCTACCTGATACCACTGTATGTTACCTGAAGTATATTTAAAAACTATTTCTTTTTTGTTTCTCCTTTGTTAGTTGACACAAGAAAAATTCCTCCACAGAAGAACTGTCTTATGACAGCTGATATTCTCTCTATTCCTGAATAATCCTGTTATAAACAATATATGATTGGAATAAAATGCCTCAGTGTAAATGGATAAAAAAAAGCTCCAATTCCTTCTAAATTTCAGTGTGTATTTTAGATGGCTTCTCAGTCTATGCAGAGTACAGGTAAAACTAGTACAGGTGTGTCTTTACTTTCCTCAATATCACATTAATCAGTCCAGCCCAGCTTATTAGCATGCAGTAACAGGGGCTGAATCACTTCTCTACAGAATGAGACACATTGGAAAATGTCACGTCAATCATACTGGTGCAATGTTTTTATATCATGTAAGGATGGTAGCTTTGTTTTACATAAATCATCAGACATAACCAGACAATGGGTTTTTTTTTAGATGAGTGCATATTTATTTTTGGATCAATTAGATGCATTAATTTCAAGTGATACAAGCCAATTTCTACTACTAAAGTTTCTTGAAGACATATATTTCCAATCTAATTTATCTTTCTTATTTATTCTTTCTTATTTTGATACATTTACCTTATGTACCCCCCTCGCCCTTTTCTCCAACCTATCTTAGAAAATAAATCACATATCACTGTTACTAAAGGAACATTCTTTTATTATATTTATACTCAACAAGTTTTAAAAATGTCACTTATAATTTTGTGAGCAATGACAGCAGTATCCAGACTAACTGAAGTCAGCAGTACACTTTACTTTTTGACTTACTGATATATGCTGTTTTTATTTCATGATAACTAGTTAAATAAGGTCTTTACCCCAAAAAAGGAAGAAACAAGCTTCAGGCCTAGCTGTCTAAATCAAAAGCAAATCCTATAATTAATCCTACCCCTGTACTGTTGGGAAATCTTTTAAATTTCTGGAAGGGAGAAAACACACATGAATTTGTCCAACTTGAAAAAGGGATGTAAGCTATTCTCTCATATGCTGACGTTAATGTTCTATTTGGAGTTGAAACAGAACAGTGACAAACGACCCAACAAAAGTCAGTCCTAAAAAAATGAGTAAGGCATAACTGTTTTTGCAATGAGTATGCAAGCTAAGAACTTTCTGATTTATTCTTTCAATTTTTTTTCTTTTGTCAAGAATCAATCTGTTTTATAGGAGCAAAAGTGGGTTTTACATACTAAAATAATTTTAAAAACTACAGAAGAAAAAAATAAGAATAAACTATCATGAGCACAACCAGTATATGAGGATATGTGTCTTTGAAAAAAGAAAAATCAATCCCATTTTCATGGTGGCTATATATACCAGTTTATTTAAATATTCCACTTTTAATTGTTACCGCATGTTTTCAGACTTCAAGTACATGTGCACTGTATTATTTACAAACTGAGAACTACCGGAAAAGGTTCGGGTACATTTACTGGTAATAGTCGGTTTTACGTGTCCCTATTTAATTGTTAATACTTCATTCATGTCATAAACTACTGTATATCACTATATATATCACATCTACAACTACAACTATATCACATATCTACATCCTTCTTTTTTCAAAAATGCAAAACATTTGTGGCAGTCACTGAAACAAATTTGCCACAAATCTTTTCCTGTTTTTATAGTAACAAAATACACACAGGGGATATTGGTTCAAATCAGAAAAGGGCCAATACAACTTTCCTTCTATCACTACGCATATAAAGTTTAAATACAGTGTAGATTATAAATAACCAAGTTCAGGTGCTGTTGCACTAGACCAGATGTCGCAGTTAATAGGTTTGGACAAACTCTAAATCAATAAATGAAAGAATAAACAAGCAAAAAAACTCAAACAAGTGACAAATGTCACAGAAGTGCGTCAGCTGAAAAATTAATAAGGCGTTCAGCTCACGGGCTCAGTCTTCCTTCATCACAACACTAACATGCGACTTAACATGTCATTAAATCAGAGCTCACCACTTTAGGCGTCACAATTACTGTTAATTATCGGTTAGTGACATGTCCAGCAGCCAACGAGACGCTACAGATGAAGAGAAATTAAAACTGTGCGTCTGGCAAATCGCATAAGGCATGTGCGCGTTCACTGCATTCCCCTCTTAGCTTAGGGGAGCACAGCTATTAAAACTCTCACCTCCCAGCAATGGCCTCCATGCAACTACTTGACAAAGTTTACACTTAACACATGCGTCACTCGGTTTAACTTTCCACATTATTCCTTTTAATAACAATAAAACCGGTTCCAAAGTGGGTCAGGTACGCCGGTGGCGGCACCACCTGCTTTACCTGTGCGATGCGCTTACAAGATGCGCCAGTTCAAAGCTAACGCGTCTTTTTTTTTTTTTTTTTTGCCTGGAGTTTCAGAAAGTCGCGCGTCTATAGTAGAAAAGAAATGTTAATTGGGTTACAAATTGGCATTGATTATCACTAATTTTTAAAGTGTATTCATGCCTGTGCCATATCGTTTTTTATATATATAAAAAAGAAAGCATCCAAATTATTCAACAAATTTGTTGGAGTTTATAATATATTTAACAGCCTCTTCTTCTACTTACCACTTAACCAGGTAGAGTTTCGTGTTCTTAGCACACTTGGAAACATGATATTTCTATTCATGTCCTTCACTAGCTATTGTCTAGTTATTTGCAAGCCAATTCATAATGTCACAATATATGTGTGAAAAATGTGACTATATTCAGCAGAGGGGCCAGTCATGATATCAAGCAGCAAAATGATGGCAATATACAACTTGATAAAAATACGGCTTATACTCGTGCTTACACTTTTTAAGATTAAGAAATTTATAAATTTTTTGATTTGTCACTCTTACTATATGATTATTTCGATCTTAGTTTATTGCTTTATTTCATTTCATTTATTTATCCATTTACTCATTAATTTTATCTTCATTCATTGATTTTCATTTTTACTCTCCATAAGACGGAAAATGTCACAGATGTGCAAAAAAGTAAAAAAAAAAATAAGGAAGTTGGCAAGCAAATGCGCTTTAAAATACTGTATACAGCAAAGAGCGCAAATATAAGAAAATACAAATAGAAAAAAAACTCTTGACTACTGATTTACCAGTTCAGTTTAGCCACTTCACTGTCCCTCCCCAATTACAAACAGCGTGGCTGGAGCTGCCCACTCGATACCTGATTAAACTGACAGTGATCCCAGCTAAGCCACAAGTTATCTGCTGTTTCATCATATTTCTAGGCGTATTCTTCTTGGCGACAGGACTCTGTGCCACGGCGTCATACCAAGGTTCCTGTACTCCTTGATAACGCCAAAACGTCTTTTGCAAGTGCTGTTAATTGGAATAAAAGTAAAAAAGGAGTTGAGCACATTAATAAAAATATCATGATACTCTATTAAATAAAAATCATTATTACGAACTAAACGAGAAAGCGGTTCGCTGTTTTTTTCTTTCTCATTTAGACTCTGATATCATTCCCAAAAGTAGTAAAGTAAAAATAATGGAACTTACTTGGACCCGAAAAAATAGATTTTCTTTTCATATCGAATGAAAGGGGTCTGCTGTCAGATAATGATCACGTATAACTTCTCTTTTCAACACATGTATTTGTAACAGTCATCGCTCTAAGGGCGTTATGTTGTGATTAGGGGCGGAAGTTGCTATTTTAGTTACCATTTGCAGCTGTATTTTAAATAAAATTAGTTAATTACTTTGTTTTTCGTAAATACTATTTTTGGAATGCTGTAAAACTGTGGAGATGCTGAACAAGTTTGGTGAAATTCTTCAAAAATAAGTGCTTGAATTTCGGATGAAGGGTTTCCCTTTTCAGTCACACATCCGCTTGCTGTTCGATATCCTGTGGAAAGTACATTTTGTAGATTTGTTTTGAGTGTTATAAGCAAGCTCAAGTATCTTTTTCATGCTGTATCTCATGACATGAGATTATCGTTTAGGTGATAACCTTAAAGTTAAAGGGGTAACGTCCAACCTCTATCCATTCATATTTTGCTTCTAATGCAAACTTTAATGGCGTCTGTCTTGCAGTATTATCTATTTGTTCGAGATCTCGGCTACTAATCCAGTATTTTGGCATCATCAAGATCACTCGTGCCATGCACAGCGTTCTGTTAATCTAGTAAAGTTATTAGTGGGTCAGAGATGACAGACGAGCAGATGATGCCAGTCCTGTTTTATATGTGAAGAACTGATTGTCATCTCGTAACTCTTGTCTTCCTTTTCCTGATTTGCACATGTAAGTTTAGGCCGAGTGCCGTTTGTTTTCTCTCTCTCTCTCTCTCTCTCTCTCTCTCTCTCTCTCTCTCTCTCCAACCGTCTCTCTCTCTCTCTCTCTCTCTCTCTCTCAATCTGCTCATGAACTACGATACGCATACGTATATATGTATACTCACTCTTTAAACCACACTTGAACTTGCTCATTCTCTTAACGTTTATACAAGCAATGATAAGATTTGCACAATATTTAGCAAGACGTAGGTGCGAAAATTTGCACTGTCCAATCAGCAGAATCTAAATCAAAAGCTTGTCAATTTCTTATCTCTCAAAATTCGTTCAAACTACAGCAATATATTGCTGGATTAATCTTTGGCTCGCCTCCAGTTTCCCGTGATTCTCTGCGCACGGCAAAACACAGAAGCAGGACTCTTGCTGTCTCTTTATTTACTGAGAAACGGAATGGAACGCAGCAGAAAAGAAACTGAAAAGGTAGGTTGATAGTATCTAAAAATCACGAGACTTTACTTTCTTTTTTTCTTATTGCGATTATGTCTTGTAGTTATACTATTTAATATGTTTGATAGATATTGGTAGTTACGGACTACCGGTAACGAAACAAGTCGCATTTTTTCCGTGTCAGCATGAGAAAAAAATATCTATGTAAGCATATGTATTGATAGGGCCTAGCTGATAGCGACACAACTGATAGCGATAGAAAGTTTGATGGTTTTAAACAGGATTATTAGATCAGTCAGTCTTTATGAAATTACTCAACTGCCAAAGAGGATGAAGACAATATTAGCACATACCTGTGAAGTGGTGAAGGATAGCTGGCAGTGAATTTATAACTAGTCTGGTACAATTTCAAAACAAAAGAGTGGAAAAAATGAACGCTTAATAACAGATGACAAATGGCAAGTCGTCCAGGATCCGTGTGTTATTTATTTCCTGTAAGGATCCTTTCATGACAGAAAACACGCCATTAGAATTATTTTTGCAAGGAGGCTCCCGCATATCAATGTCTCGGGTCATTTTGCTATAAAATAAGTCGTTTTTAAAAGTCAAGGGAAGGTAAAGTTTTTTAAAATTATTGAATCACATTAAAATGTGTTAGTAATGGTTTTAATTTGCTTTTTAATTTGCAAAGTGATGACAAGATTAAGGTTATTGTCACTGTTATTGAAACCACAGCGGCTTTCTTTCTCAATATTGTCGAGTCTGAAATCAAAAGCAGAAGGTTCTATTTGCCTCTATGAAAATGTGTATTTGTTATAAGCATTTTCGCATAATATGCAAATGGAAAGGAAACCCTGATTGAAAAAGCTCGTTACACAAATTATCGTTTTTATGTCTGAATAATTCCGGACCTGGTTCAAATTTAGTTGTCAGAAACGCACAGTGCGTTGAAGACAGAACTAGTAATTTTATCATTTTAAAAAAGCATTAACTCAAGCCAAGTACTTCCGAAAGAAACCCCCTAAAAGTTACTTAGCAAGTGCTCAACCATTTGAAATGTAAGCCGTGGAAGACATAAATGTAAGCAAACAGTAGCTCAAGTATTTAGACCTTATCATATGATGTGTTAAAAGTAACGGAACGCTGAAGCAAAGCATGTTTGTTTATACACGTGCATTGCCAAAACTTGCTAGCTTGGAACATGTGGCAATTTTCCAAAAAAAAAAAAAAAAATCAAATTCCAGACAAATTATGTAAGATTATGTAAGATTATGTAAGATATTCATAAAACGTGCTAAATGATATATATTCTAACCAGAAAAAAAAATAAATCAAATTAATCGATGGCAATATGTTAGGGAATAAGTAGTTTAATACTTGCTTTTTTGGAGAATTGCAATCACCCCTTTGGGTTCATATGTTTCGAAAAATATACAGTATTGAATGAGACTTCTTTTTCAATACTTTGCCAATACTTTGTCCGTCAGTTTGTCTGGGGTGTGTAATTGTCTGTGTCTGTCAGTATGTTTGTCGTTAAGCCTCTCGGACCTCTCTCTATTTCTCTCTCACACACACGTGCGCGCGCGCTCGCTCCCACGTTCTACTGGTGATACTGACGTAAGTAAGGCAGAGATGAAGGGACTGCTTTGATCTGTCTGCAGAGTTATCTGAGAAAGACCAGCCCACCCTGCAACATAGCCACGCCATCGTCCGCTCGCCCAGCAATGATGACATCCACTAATCAATAATGTAGTATCTTGTGATTAGAGTTTATTAAGTATGTAATCCGCTTCCGACGACTACCACAATGTGAAGATACATGAAGTCATCCGTTGTCATAATTACAATATGACAACACATTATAGGCCTATTTCGGAATCTTTGAGAGAGACTTAGGGAATTTATTTGATTCAGTATTCAGTATTCTAAGTGTAAAATTCTATATATAAAAGTATCCCTACAAGTTACAGTCAATGTGAATGGTTTTGATTGGTTACGTGCTCAGTTAATTAAGGTAATGGTTTTGGGGGGCACGGGACGTGTTTCCGAATTTTCCTTCTCTGTAGGCCTATTTTGTTGCAACAACAGAAATACATAGCTGGGTACATATATAATCCAAAAATAAAATTTTTATTCTTTGCAAGTATCTAGGCAATGTGAAGGAACTAACAGGACCGAGTACACACATCATTCCCAGTCCAAATGGCACGCCTCTTCTACTTGTTCGTTGTTAAGTACTCGTTAGTATGGATGGTTTATCATCAAACCAGAAATATAACAGATTATAATGATGATTTAAGAATTCTCTTTCGTAATCTTAATAAGATGAGCCCATCCTCCACCCTGATAGCTGTCATTCGGTAGTCCACAAATACCAGTGTCGTCTGCTTGTTTCTCGGCGGAATGGTTCATATCTTTAGGCTGATACAGCTTCTGTTGTCCCTCCCCACTGTCAACAACCATTGACAGGTACTTGACAGAGCGGCCTATGGAAGTCGCTTACATGCCCCTCTTGATGAAGATGATATGTTTGTCTTTCACAAAGACCGCCATTGATTTGGGGCACAAAGTACACAGTTCTAACACGTGCTTATCTCGCTTAACTCTTGTAGAAATGTCCATCTTCTTGTCAGTCTTCACAGCTATGTACCGACGATAATAAACAGAAATAACGATTGGAAAACTTCCCCGAAAAATAGTGTATCAATGAGCCATGATGAACAACGTACGGTGTGTCATCGATGCACGTAGTTTCTTAAAAACTTTTTTCAATAATATTTACTTCTTTGAAGCATTGAATAATTGATTAGCAAACGAAATTGCCGATGTCTGTGAAAAAGGTATTCCAAAATTGCAATAGAACACCGCCTTATTAGCTGTGTTTCATTAGATTGTAGGGGAGAACACTTGTGAGGGAGAGTACATGTATCCAAAGTTCATTTCGTGATTTACTTCTCTTTCCTAACATTTGCTCTCACACTTCAAAAGGTGATAAACTTGATAATGTTGATTATATTCCAGGATGATTTGCCATAGCCTGGCCTTTATAACCCCATCTTTGCTTGTATTCTTATGGCATTCAAACGCTGTCATTTCTCCTGGTAAACTGACTGCACATGGCGCATCTTACCTGTCCCGGCTCGGAGGGGGGGGGGCAGGGGGGGGGAAGGGAGGTTATGGGGGTATTGTTTATTTTTCATAAATCATGATTGTCTCCACTATATCGTGCCTTGATATTATATGGACTTTAACCATTATACGCCACTAAATATTACGATTTAGAAATGTCAATAATAAAGTGAGAAGGGGTTACTTTCTGGTTTTGATACTTCTCCTTACGTTAAATGAAGGAGGCATTTCAGCGAGAGTTCCCCCAAATTTAGATCGATCCACGTAAACCTCTGGTGTGCAGTGGAATGGGTCCTTACAAACCCTCTTCTTCAGCTTTGTGTACTAAGCTGGAGACCCTAGAGTTATCAGAAGGTATTCTGAACTTGCTCTAATGAACTGCGTGCATTTGTTTATTCCTCCTCAGAACTGCTACGACAACAAAGCATACATGGCCGACCAGCAGGGTGAAACGTACTTGCCTCTTAGCAGCAGAGACTGTTTCGGGGACAGAAATCCCAGATTAAGCAAAACGATGGAGGAAAACCCACAAAATACAGGAATAATCCAAAATACTTCACACTACCCTATTTTTACAAGCAAAAGAAGCCGTAGAAAGCGAGTAGTTATCTTCATGGCAGTTTTTTGCGCTGTTTCCTTGACAGCAGCCATTATAGCTGTACTTGTGGTGTTTCTCCCCGAGCAAGGTAAGTACTGGAAGTCCCTTATGGAAGCAGTATCGAGTCAAGATTTGTACACATGCTGATATCATAATAGCAAGATGCCTGGACCTTTTAGTAAAACAATCGTTGTGAACGAACAAGATTGCGCTACGCTGAAGAGTGATCGGTGCTCCATGGCACTTTTACTTCTCAAAAAGTTCTCACAATCTGATCATCGTGCTAATATCTCTTATTTATTTAAACTCTTTTAAGCATTTAACATTATTTTCAGGCGAAACAGTTATATTTGACACAACAAGGGATGATCTCTTTACAAACGGGCAATCAACGTTTTCCACAGAGTCCGTCGTTTCTCAAGGCACCCCAGGTACAGCTAATCCTGACTCATTAAACCACGTGCATGTCAAGGAATTAGACTACTTTCAATTCATTTCTTTAGTTATAATTCCCTGTGAAGAAGATTTGTTTCATGTCTATAAATTATTCAGCAATTTAAGTGTCCTGTTTTGGAGGCAATTTGCTGTTAATATATATGAATATATTTCCATTTGTGAATTCAAAATGATGGTTCAAAAAATCATTTGTTTCGACCCTGGATATTTTCATATTTCAGTTTCTCCACATCCACAAATATATCACTGTAGGATCAGAATAGTCGGCGGGCCATATAATAGATTTACTGCTCAACTTTTAAATACCTCTTCGCCACTATTTATAGATTTATCAAAAGCCTTCCAGGAAGAAGTAGGTATCCATCTCCACTGTACGTGTTACGATTGGTTCGGTTCGGGTTCGGGTGAAGAAAAAAAACGCCCCTAAATATTGATAATATGTTGATTTTTTCTTGTAATTCAAATGAATTGTACATAATGTTGTCCCTGGTGTAGACAGGTTTGTGTAAACCACATTTTAAAATACCATATACATGTAGCTTATAAGCCTCCGTGTGGACATCAATACTGAGATGATAGGCCATATTGCAAAGAGGAATATGGTGTTTTGCTGCCATTTGGCCGCATGCGTGATGCGTTTTCAAAATTTCTGTCTTGCTGATTTATGTTTTGAATTAGAATATTATATCGTGCCATACTTCATGGAAAACTATTATATTTAACAAAATCTATCATTTCGATTTCAAACATAAATATTTGATAAAATGTTTCTGTTTTGTAGATGAACAGGATATTTCTGCAGAGCCAGTATCAAGACATCTACAATTCAACAGAAGTTCTTTCATTCAGGTGAAGATTTTCAATTAAATTATACCTCGCATTGGTTCGATTCATCTTAAAACTAGATCTTTCAGCGTTTTGGGATCTGACTCCTGATAGAATAAAGTGAACTCCTATAGATGGTATTCTAAAGTGGAAAGGTATAATCTGCAGTCGTACATGCATGTTTTACAAACGATTTTAGTTTCGATATTTTTAAAAATACGATTGATGCTTGCTTAGCATATTTAATTTTTTAACATTCAACACGAAATGGATATACCAGTAGCCTACATGTGTGTTCTGTATGTATGTATGTATGTGACCTGGAGTGCTTGTTGCAATAATTTGAACATTTCTCAGAAGTGGCAGCGTTCTAGTGAACTATGCAGTGCGCATGCTCCGGGCTGTCCCCAGCAATGACGTCAGGAACGCTACACTACATGCTATTTCCAAGAACGGAACATCAGGCAGCTTTATCTTCGACAGAGATTCGTTAACAGTATCCAAAGCAGGTGATATATTTAAGGAATATGCACCAAATAACAGGCAATAAACCAATAAATTCAAACGAAACGTTCTTTTTCAACGCTCGTGGATCCTTTCAGTTCTTTGACTCTAGTTTTAAAATTCTGGTTTTGCCACACAATGCAAAGATATTTGTAAACATTGATATTCGTAACATTCTGAAACGTCTTATAGTTTTCATTTGACAGTTTTTACTTTAAACATCTAAATACTGTGCAAGTGGGTGATTTTTTTTGCTTCTTCTTTTTATAATAATGCTTCAAAATGTTCCTTTTTCGACGTGTAAATTAATTTACTAATATTTCCGAGTAATTCTCTATAACCTTTTTTTGGCGATAGTTTATGCACCGTGTTTATTTGATAATATTATCTATTCTCAGGTCACTTAATCGATATAAGGTGTATATTTGATNTAGCAACAACAGAAATACATAGCTGGGTACATATATAATCCAAAAAATAAAATTTTTATTCTTTGCAAGTATCTAGGCAATGTGAAGGAACTAACAGGACCGAGTACACACATCATTCCCAGTCCAAATGGCACGCCTCTTTTACTTGTTCATTGTTAAGTACTCGTTAGTATGGATGGTTTATCATCAAACCAGAAATATAACAGATTATAATGATGATTTAAGAATTCTCTTTCGTAATCTTAATAAGATGAGCCCATCCTCCGCCCTGATAGCTGTCATTCGGTAGTCCACAAATACCAGTGTCGTCTGCTTGTTTCTCGGCGGAACGGTTCATATCTTTAGGCTGATACAGCTTCTGTTGTCCCTCCCCACTGTCAACAACCATTGACAGGTACTTGACAGCACGGCCTATGGAAGTCGCTAACATGCCCCTCTTGATGAAGATGATATGTTTGTCTTTCACAAAGACCGCCATTGATTTGGGGCACAAAGTACACAGTTCTAACACGTGCTTATCTCGCTTAACTCGTGTAGAAATGTCCATCTTCTTGTCAGTCTTCACAGCTATGTACCGACGTTAATAAAAAGAAATAACGATTGGAAAACTTCTCCGAAGAATAGTGTATCAATGAGTCATGAAGAACAACGTACGGTGTGTCATCGATGCACGTGGTTTCTTAAAAACTTATTTCAATAATATATACTTCTTTGTTAAAGCATTGAATAATTGTTTAGCAAACGAAATTACCGATGTCTGTGAAAAAGGTATTCCAAAATTGCAATAGAACACTGCCTTATTAGCTGTGTTTCATTAGATTGTAGGGGAGAACACTTGTGAGGGAGAGTGCATGTATCCAAAGTTCATTTCGTGATTTACTTCTCTTTCCTAACATTTGCTCTCACACTTCAAAAGGTGATAAACTTGATAATGTTGATTGTGTTCCAGGATGATTTGCCACAGCCTTGTCTTAGAACTCCATCTTTGCTTGTATTCTTGTGGCATTCAAACGCTGTCATTTCTCCTGGTAAACTGACTGCACATGGCGCATCTTACCTGTCCCGGC